CATAAAGTGTCGTTTATTGTTCGAATAAGACGTGAATGATGTCGCTAGCAAGAAGCAAATAACTATATAGGTATACCTTCTTCCATTAAGTCCTATTAACGATGTAAATGTGAAAGTTTTTGTAGAAGTTTGGATGTTTGTTGCCTACTTAATTACGCAATCCACGACCGAATGGATTTGGTTGTAATTTAGCACACAGATAAACCATTTCCTGTTTCAATGCATAGGGTATAATGTCTTGCATTCATTTACAATAATTAAAGTTCATAATTCTAACACAGTATATGTTTGTATGATATAGTTAATTTTATAAGGGCACGAAAATTATTTAACTGGCAGATAACCAAAATACTCGTAGAACCATACCGTCATAGAAATTGCAGTCTGAGTTGAAAAGTTCTTTTTTACCATACCTATACTACTGTTCAACTAATAGTAGTTATTGTTATTAACTATAATCTATTCAAGTAGGATTTGTCTATACAAATCCTACTTGAATAGATTATAGTATAATATATATTAATAATTATGTTATATCGAAAATATTTAATATATTAGTATGACTCCGTTTAGTGTTCTGTTTGTTTAATGACAAAAACTCTGTACTGAAAATTTGGAGTGGAAAGTTGTGGCTGTTGTCCGAGCGGACGTGCGCCCGCGCAGCATGTCGTCGTAAAATGTATAAGTGATAAGGGACAGTGCATTTAAAATGAGTTGGTATAAGCAGCTGTATGGACTATTATTACTAATATCCATAAAACATCTACGGTATGTAAAATATTTGACTTCTCTTTCTGATTCTATGTACATATATAACTGATAAAGGATATTACCTATTTTTTTTATATTATATTAGCAGAATATGTATAATATATTACTCTGCTATATTTTTAAAATAAATAAATAGAATCGTGTACTAAATTTCATTTAATTTTAGTGATTTATGAAAACAAATTGAATTCAATCCACTATACGAAAATAGCAGCGAAATGGAAACATGGTGAGTATTCTACCCACTATGACGACGCGACGTCGACGCGTCGTGTTTGTTTTGTACTTTTCAGACTAATTCTATATCATCATCCGCAGTCTCCTGTAACTTAACCCAATCTCGGCATCGTGAGTCATGCTTCATTTGCCGCATTATCGCCAAGCAATTTGCATGCTATTTGCAGTAGCTATCGATGTAACGGGAGTGAAGATTGGAATAACGTTGTCGACACGGATATCATATAGTACGGAATATAAATACGAGGGAATTGATATGATTAGAGATATCGGTAGTTTAAACGGGTAACGGTAAATAAAAAATATCGGTTGATACGACTTTAAAATTTACGCATTAGTGAGACTAAATTTATACTGTTTAATTATTTTTAATATTTTTTTAGGCAATAAACAACAATACACATCAAATGTATATCATAATATATGTTATATGTACGCACACACAGTACATTAAGTACGAATCACTGTTAATACTAAAATATTCACGGGAATATTTTATAATAAATCTAAGAAGATTTTTCTACATATTACATTATACCCACTCACTCACTTACCAGTATACATTTAAAGTTCCTTAGTATTACCAGGAAACTAATTCTTCATAAGCCAAAATGTAATGTTACTTTATTAAATATCAAATTTAAATCATGGCAATATTCATCATATTCGTAAGCTAATTATCAATAAATATTCGAAAAAAACATTCGCTTGTCAATCTAGTTACAATTAATTACACTATAAATCAATCTTGAGACCCTGACGTGTTTCAATGTTAGTGAATTGTGGCTTTCATTGAGCAAGTTACTTTATAAATACATTTTATTTACATGTTTGTTGACTTAAGTGTGTCATTTTAATTTAAAACATGCATATGAAGCAATAGCACCGTTATTTAATTTATGTAAAAGATATATAAAGTTTACATATTACTTATGCCTTAATTTTAAATTCAAGTTAAAATCCAAGTTATTATAAGAATATATTAATTCTGAATCAAAAAAATAGAACTGTAACCCTTTAATGTAATTCTAAAGATAAATAAGCTAACTCATTATTACATACTATAAAACAAAGTCGCTGTCGCGTCTATCCGTCCCTAAGTATAGTATGCTTAAATGTTTAAAACTACGCAACGGATTTTGAAGCAGGTTTTTTTAATAGATAGAGTGGATTCAAGAGGAAGATATATATGTATAATACATGTATACCCGTGCGCCGCCGGGGCGTATAGCTAGTATCCTAGCTACTCGCCTACTACTAGCTACTCGTAGTATCCTATAAACAGCACTATGGATATCACGTTATCAGGTGATGCATGCGATACCGCTCATGAGCTGCCATTCCATTCCGGAAGACGTTACGCAGACGATTTTTTACAGTCTATCTGGGTAAAAATAAATTAAATTTGCAGTTTTAATATTAGTTTAAATTGTTCATTATCTGCTCAGAAACAATACCTCTAATGAAAAAATGATTAAAATATATTAAAAGAATTACCTTACACAGTTACAGTTTTCCATGTCATTATTATTATTTAAAACCAATGTTTTAAATAATAATTATACGTCTATATGTGAAGGTAAATGTAGACGTATAGTGATTATTTAAAACACTATACGTCTACGTTTTTTTAAATAATAATTATGACACAACAGTTGGTTACTAAAGAGGTAAAAAATATGCTATTAATATGATAAGTACTCTACAATATTTCTCAATAAACGCAATACAAATCGCCAGTAGTAGTAGTAATAGTACTGTAGGAATGCAATATAGGCAGTTTGTGTGTAGGTTTAATAAAATATGTAACTTCGATATATAGTCTACTAAAACTTGTTAGTAGGGTTGCGAATATCTAAGTTACTAAGACTACTAGTTCTTTAGTTAATTTTAAACTTTCGTGTTTAATATACATTATTTAAATTATTAACCGGGTCTTAACACGAATAATTTTATGGCAAATAAAGGTATTTACCTATATTTATTCGTGTTAAGACCCGGTTAATAATTTAAATACTAGTTCTTTATTCGGTACATTATCAAAAGAATTTTTACATTGTGAAGGTAAAAATATTTAACAATATCTCAAGATGTATTATTATTAAATTAAGTCAAGACGTTGGCTTATGTTTTTAATCAATATCATAAATTATATAAACAAAGTAGAATTCAATATTGTAATCTTAAAATAATAGTTCATTTCATATGTGTGTTTGTATTTGTGTTCTCAATTTGCATGTCATATCATAAACGATCAAATATGTGGTATATGAAATAACTATTTAACGACTTGTGTGTACCAGATATGTTGTAAATAAATGACTATAATTATGATGATATCTAGGTCATGAATCCATTATCAAATAATTTTAAATCTATTCGCCAATTTATAGATAAATTTGATACAGGTATAGCAAAAATATTGAATGACCACCACCTTATATTATTAATATTCACAGCATCTCTACATTCTAACAGGTTACATGAATTAAACCGTGCTGGTTAGACAGATTAAACCAGTAACTTTATATAATAGTTTTGAAGTTAGAAAATGGTTTACAAACTGAAGAAAATGTATTTTCATATATTTAAATTAACTATTATTATTTATTATTAATTAACATAGATACACTATTGGGTGGGTACAAGTAGTTTTGTTTTAACCGAGTGGTTATTTTGACCACTGCGTATTAATGTCGAAATAAGAAATAACGAGTGAATTGCTCAAATTATAGCATAACATAAGCGTAGGTGCTGTTTCTTTAATAAATCATAACGTTGGTATTTGTTAAGTATATAGAGTCGCTTTCAAATAAAATTATCTACATACATACTTTTTACTTAGTGATATTGGGTTTTGCATTACTCTGATAATATGTACATAATGTAAGAGAAGAACTTTATTATAATATGCATAATTAAATTCAAACCTTATTCCAGACATGTTATTACACTACAAAATTCAAATATAGCATACAGGTAACATACATAATATACACCCTTAATATAAAATAATATGCTTGATTTTGTTTAGCAAGTTTACTCTACACCTCACCTGATGAAAAGTCACGCCTTGAACTCACTGTTATTTGAAGAGATAGTATTTATATTAACGGGAACAAGGACGTACATATATATACGTGGTTACACTAAATGATTTTTGTACATAATATTCCTAAGGTATACACATTTTTTAAATTGTTATTACGCTGCGCTAGATACACCTTTTATCAGGATGTGACCAAGAATGATTCCGCATACTTCCATAGGTACATTACCAGATGTACCGTAACGGAAAATATGTAGCCTTATAGTGTAGTCCTTATTTAGAAAGTAGTCTTTGATGTTACGTCGAGAAAAATAAAATCTGTCAAGTGGGAACGGAAAACAGTCTTATGGATTCCGTTGATGTTAGATTATTATTAGATTTTAAAGAAGGTGGTTGTTAACTCAATATAAGTATAGGTGTGATATTTTAATTAAAATATATGTGAAACTGATTTCAAGGTATACTCTATTAAATACAATAAGGTTAATAAAAAAGGAATTTGAAGAGACTCATTATCTATCTAATAAACTATCCGGATACCGACCATAACTAATAACGGGAATGTTGGTATAAATTTGATTTCTGTAGTCTTAACCGTAACTATCATTATTGAAAGGAATGAAATGTTTAATATTCGATATAACATTCCGGATTTTTATTGAATATCAGCTACCTAACTCTAATACTTTAAACAATCAAAGTGTATAGTTATGCTTGAAAATGACTTGCCAAATAGTACCGTATGCGGCCTCTTTAATTATCCAAGTCAATAAATTCAAAACCAAAGATAACCCTTATTCATGCCTCTCTTTTGACAGTACATAGGTACCAGTTTGCTGCACGTAAAGAAAAATAGCCAAGCCGAAGTGGTAGTACAGCATTCCTCGCAAGGCAGTTGGCGTACATTGCTTCGTCGGCGTTCAGAAAATCAGAGAATCTTGAATTGAATCAGTTCGAAAGTAGACTCGCGGTTGTTCGGACGCCAAACGCCGTGAATGTAAACTATACATACATTTCGGATTACTAAATTAAATTCGAAAATTTTAATTGCTTTCTTTCCAAACAGTGGAATTTTATTAGTGGCCAGTGTTGTGTTTTGAAATTGGAAATTGTTACGTTTTGTGCATGCAACTTTGAATTGGATACCGTAATAAATACTTGATTTGATCAATTCTACTGGATTGTTTATTGTGTAAGTATACCTATATGTACTCTTTAATTAAGCTCATTAATCATGAAAATCCGGATTTTATGCAATTATCTACATCCTCGTATGCTTTTATATTTCCGTTACATGGAGGTATCATCCTGTAATCAAAGTACTTCTACAGATTTCTATTTTGATTTATACGATACTAATGATATGATTCATTTCGTGTTTTATATAAGTAATACGTTATCTATAATTTTGTATATAATTCTTTATTATATGTACACAAAGTTTTTGTTTTGCATTGATATAAAAATTATATTAGGTTACCTGTTATCAATTATATAATAACTTCTTAATTAGTACCTAAATAGAAAATAATATTCCCTCCTGCGTTAACGGGCTACGCATACCACTGTGGTGTTGGGAGGCAAGATGATTTTGATTCGAAATAAGCATATTTAACCCATATAGGAGAACTTATCAGCAATTAATTATAACATTTTGCATGGGAACCACATGGAGATGGACGTCATAGATTAATTTGCAAGCAATGGATGATTATTCCCCGTTACTAATAATAAAATGTGTTATCCCAATCCGTGACACAGATCTGCATCACTAACAAGGTATTTTTCCATTTATCTTAGTAATACCACGACATTTTTTTTAATTGCATATAATATACATCGTTAATAATATGATGCATTACGATCCAAATAAAAAGTCATATATGTGTACTAAACTCCAATCAATAAACTAGTAAAATTCCTACACGCAAACATCTTCATAGACTTTTTCATTCATAATATTACGAGTTGAATAATAATTTAGTAACGATCATATATAACTGTATGCGGTGTCACATGCTCCTACTACATTAAATTGATGTCAATATGTCAATTTCAGGCTTTCAGCGATCCATCACACGCTCATAATGCGTATAGTAGAGATTGCCTGATTGAACCACACGCAAACCGATGCCTAGCTAATTATCACATGACATTTTTTCTTATAGATTGATATCAATATATTTTGTAATATTATGTACAAATATGTTATTTTATTAACGGTACAATACCTATGTCAGACCAACGTGAGTTTTATTGCATGTGAATTATAGTAGTACTAATGTAGCGTAACTAATGAAATTATTACTAAACAAAACTTATAAAATTGTATACTACAATTGCAATAACTGTTTATGGCGGAATCTACTGGAATCCATCGTGAGTATTTTCTGGATTTCTTATACCGAGTATACTTAGGTACATTAAAATACACAAGTACCTATCTCAAATCATAAATTTTCGTCTCTGTTGCTTGCTATATATATTTTTTTATATAGTTGTCATTATATAAGTATGATAAATTCACAATTATTTCAATATGTTATCTAATAACATATTTGTAAATTATAAATTATATATATTATCAAACCTATGTTTTATATGAGTCCAAGCCTCTATAGAAATATTGTATTTATTTTTTAATGTGAGTACAGATCTTGTAGAATTATCTTTACAATGAATACCGGCGTTATACATACATAGAAATGAATACAAAATACAGATGTATTAGTATATTATATACTACATATAACAATTCTGCAGTTTTCTTTGTAACATCGGTATATCGTAACTTGATCAGCTAAACAGCTTGCAAATACCTGTTCGGGATATAAAAGAAAATTCGCCGTATTTACATACGATATCGTCGAATATCCATTACATTGAAGACAACAATAATGCATTAATAGCATTTTCTTTTGTCATGACTTATTTTATGCCTTAATCAAGAATGTATATAAATTATGTCGTGTGATGTGTATTGCTTATAAACATATAAGCAATATTTACTAATAATTCTCACGATAAAAATTTTGTTACAAAATCTTTTAATACATTTGTTTTACTGAGAAAGATTTGTAATAAAGTTTTCTTTTATTTTAATTGTGAATACGTGACCTGACCTAGTTATTAATAATCCCTACTTGAAGCTCAAAAGGTTATAAGTTCTAATCTGGGCTTTGTTTGTCAATTTATCTATACAACTCATATACTGATAACTCCTGGCACGTGAGTACAAAAATACCCACCGGTGATTATGTCAAATATTACGTTTACCACAACATCAATAACTGACAATGGCTCTGACTATCCCAACTGCAACCAATCGTGAAGGTTCATGTATATTTAGTTTTCTACACGTCCATAGTGTAAACAGCGCGTAATGTATTTTCACTCGCATACCATGCGATTTGCATTGGAATCGAATTTGTAACGGCAACGATTTCTCGCAGCGACCGGCCTACATGTTGGTTGGTAAAATATATTCTAATGATGTTTCTTGCGTGTTTATATGTAGTATGCAATATATGCAATCATACCTTTATATCAAACATTGAATATTACTTTGTTAGTATAATGAGAATGAATTATAATTAGTCAATTTTAAATTGAGTTTCTTTTTTAGTGAACCTAAAAGATAATTGATTTACAAATTTATTTACATACAATGATTAAAATCATTTGTTATAAATACATACTAATAATAAATATATATATTACATTTAATGTAAAAAGTTAGGCCCATGTGAAAGTTTTCTCAACATTACTTACAAGTAGGTACTTAACTTATACAATATGTATTAATAATTTCACCTTTTTATGTAACTAGTCACAAGAACACGTTACATTACAGATCACACCCTGTTATGATAAAATTGGTTGTGACTGGAGCGGGAACACAACTACTATTTCATTAAAAATCAAAGATTAGTAAAAAATGTGTATATTTCCCAAAAGGGCTTACTGCGAAGAAAGTTTATAAAAGGAATGATAGACAAACTGCCAGCAACAGTGGTGTCAAAAAGTCATTGGTCTCCGGCTGCTGGATAACATGCAGCATGAATTTAAAATATTTAGGTTTAATTTTTTTAGTAGATATATTTTATTACCATAGGTTTATCTACAATCACTCACTTATTATTTTCTAATTAGAGCAATAATTACTATTTCGCTCTAATCACTGCTTGTTTCCTTTTTTCCATTTTTATTTACACCATTGAACTTATAAATCCAGAGCGGCCAGAGTCTCGTGTTGCTATTTGGTGAGTGCAGACTAACCTTGTATGTATTTTCTTTCTATTACTACTACCGTTGTCTGCACTAAGCCCAAAATATATACTCAACCCCACATAAGTTAAATAAGCTCTTTTTATAGGGGATGATCGTTTATATTGACTACATTGATCAAAGGTCAACTATAATGTGTATTCTACAGGATTTGCAGCACCGTTACAAGCGCTAGGACGTGATATTAGTACCTACTTACCTATAATTATTACTGTACCCAGTTTGGTACAATTATAATATTTTAAATAAGTATATAATTCAACCCAAGGCTACGCCTGCGGTGATCACTTAAATATAACTTGGAATGTAATTGACTATGATGGACAACGTAATTTTTATTCATAATAATACTTAACTATCTGCAGATTGTACAGGAAATTTCTATATTCACATAGACAAAAGTAATTATATTTTTCTACAGATATACTCAGAAATGATGGCTAAACGTAAGATGGTAAATCTAAACATATTAAATTAAGTTTCTGATTATATAGGAATACAAATATTTTAATAACACCTGTAGTAAAAATACATAACGAAAATTTAATTACTTACATTTAATTTCCAAACCGATCAAAAAATAGAATTCAATAAAATCTTCTTTTTATAAAACTACGATGGTTTCGAAATGATTATCACGTGGAGGTTCTATATAATACATTGATGGCGATGGGAACACTAAAAGCTATTACCACAGATAAGATAATTTTATATAGTAACAATCATCATGTTCCCTCATGTATATTAGCGGTCACACAGTCAAATAAGAATAAAATTTATACAAAAATGGATTGAAGCGCTGGATAGTACTACCTCACTATACACATACGATTTTCAAGCGCGATTTACCGATTTCATGGTACACCAGTGTCGAACACGTTCCGCTACTATTAACAGTGCAGTCTTAACGCAACAGAGAACATAAAAAAAATCTTGTGATTGCATAAAAATAATGTGAATTAACAATAATAACTATAATTACGTAAAAAACGTGTTAAGTGAAAAAGAAGTAATAAAATATTTACAGTCATTGCAGACATTTTTTTAAACCACCTGACAAAAAATTATCATTTCTTGCTTTTTCTTTATAAGGTTCAGTGCAGAATATCCTCTCTTTGCCTGTTATTTATTAAGAATTCAATCGGGGAAAGATCATTCAATAGACTATTGTAAGAAATTATCTAGAAATAAATAGTGTATATTTCTATCACTAGTAGCACTGACTTCCGAGAATATGATAGAACTGCAGATATGTAATTTATTATTGTTGATATTTGCAACAAGAAGTTATGAATATGTGTATTATAAAATTGTGCCCACAAAAAAGTCAAGACTTTTGACCGGTGATCGACCTTGGCAGAAACCAATTTACAACAGCAATATATTATTTGACAACATCAATTTTATGTTATTATAATTTGGTATTGCACTTTAATTACGTAATATAATAAATTGTATTTGCAACATAGAAAAATAATTTACAACTGTAAACTCGGTTAGGTAAAATTTCACATTAAGTAATGCGGAACGCGCGGCGTGCTGATTGTATGTATTAACGTGAATATTCTCAGATTATATCGGAATCATATGGCACGGAAACATTCTGAAATAGTAAGAGGCAAGAACTTTAATTTCAATAATCATGCTTATTTGTTTGCAATTTTTAATCTCTGATTGGTTATTCGGATGAAAGTAAGAAAGTCTTTTAGAGAAAACTAATATCTGTCTAAGTAACACATTCAATATAATATACTTGACTTGCATAAGTTGAATAAACAACTATTCTAATGTATCTCCTCTTACCACTCTTCAGTACCTTTATAATTTGGTGGTGTACCTGATGGTAGACGGCAATTAAGAGGGTATGATTTTATGCTGTACAAACGTGAAATTTAGGATTATTAC